TACAATGGTGAGAAAGATAGAGCCATCCTAGCCTTCACAGACTCAAGAATATAGTAGGAAAGACAATGAATAAGCAACCCTTGTGCCAAGTGAAAGTGCTACAGAAGGAAAAACTTCAGTGTCATGTAATTACATAGTGGTGTGCTTAGGTAGAGAAGGGTTTCCTTCTCTAGGAAGGAAATGACATGTTACGATTTAAAGATACTGTTTACTGAACATCCAAGGTGAGAAACAAGAGGAAGTGGCAAGAGAAGTTGATGAGGTAAGCAGAATCAAGATCACAGAGTATCTTCTATCATGCATTTCAATTTTATCAACAGAACACCACTTTGTTTTAAGCACAGGACTCGCAGGATTTACTCTAGTGGTGACAAAATGGATTGGAGAAAGGCAATAATGAGAGTAGCAGTTACTGGTATTCGGTGGAGAAATAACGGCAGTGGGAATGCAGTGGTAGTCAGATCTTTAAAACACAGGATATCCTGGATGTTTTTCTAGACTGGATGTGGAAAACATGAGAATAAAAAGTTCGGGATGATGTTCAAGTTTCTGGCTTGGGAAATCAGATGTGGCACATTAACTGATAAGGGGTATTCTCAGGAAAAAACAGGAGTCTAGGGTGTGAAATACTTGTGAGGTAATGAAGTGGAGATTCCCTTTAAATATGAGCCTCTTGAAAGGTCTGGGCTATAGACAAGAAATTAGGGAGCCATCAGTACGATGCTAAGTGCAGCTGCTAGAGGGCAAGCGAGCGTCTCAAAAGGTATAGAGCATAAGAATGCCGATAATAGAACCTTCATGGTCACCAAAAGGGAAGCCAGGGAAGAGCCTGGAAAGCAGACTGAGTACAATCAGCAGAACAGGTATTGGAAGTTATAAAATAAAGAATAAAATCAGGAGACTAGTGTCTCAGAAGTCACAGGAAAAGTTATGATATTAAGAGAAGACAATGTGAAATATTGCCAAGAATCATGTAAGATAAAGATTGAAAGGTGTTCACTGCACTTAATTATAAGCATGTCATTGGAGACCCTGATTTTTTAAAAAAGTAACTAGAAACGAATCATCAGATGATTTGGGGGAGAGAATTATTTCATTTAGAAAATGATTGATAACAGCAGGTTACTCAGTCTATGATCTCATTATAAAACTGTTTAGGTACATTTCTCCCTTTGCATTCTAGAGGGCTGGGATAACCTGTGTAACATTAAAAAACTTGAATACCAGAATAACTGTATTTTGATCATCAGATTAAAAAACAATTGGATAAAAAGCTACTATAAAGTTAACAATGCTTGTGGGCCAGCCAAGTGGCTCAGTTGGTTAAGAGCTTGCTCAAGAGTTTGAGCTCTGAGCAACAGCGGTTCAATTCCTGGCCCGAGCTGAGCAGCCGCTGAGCTGCCAACAGGTGGCAGTATGGCTCAGATAAAAAAAAAAAAGTTAACAATGCTTTTAAATAGATGCACTTTAAAAAAAAAAAATCATGGGTTGTTTGAAAAAAGAAATACCTAAGACATGTGTGCAACCAAGATACCAGGCTTGGTGTCTATGTGGAGGTGGTGGTCTCGGGTGATAACTCAGGCCCAGAGATTAAGAAGTCATATGGATAAGATGATCTTCAAAAAACTTCCTGAGAACCTGTAATTCTTCAAGTTAATTTTTAAAAATAGCAACTCAATGGCACATCATGGGAGACTTTTATAATGGCCCAAAATGAAATATGAGTTATTACTTTAAGTACAGCAGTCCCCTGTTATCCATGATTTCACTTTCCTGAGGTTCAGTTACCCACGGTCAGAAAATTTTCCCAGTCATGGACATGGTCTGCTCCTGATGATGAGTCCAAATCACCCAAAGCAGATGATCCTCCTTCTGATGTATCTCCAAGAGGTCAATAGTAGCCTAATGCTACCCCACAATGCCTACGTCATTTACCTGATTACATCTCATCACGCAGGCATTTTATCATCTCACATGACAATAAGAAGGGTGAGTACAGTACAATAAGATATTTTGAGGGTCTCACCACATTCACATAACTTTTATTACAGTATATTGTTATAATTGTTCTATTTATTAGTTATTGTTAATCTCTTACTGTACCTAATTTATAAATTTATCATACATATGTATGTATAAGAAAAAAACATGGTACTGACAGTCTCTGACTTAACAATGGTTTGACTTATGATTTTTCAGCTTTCCAATGGTGTGAAAATGCTATGCATTCGGTAGCAACTGTACTTCAAATTTTGAATCTTGCCCTTTTCCTGGGCTAGTGACATGTGGTATGATACTCTCGTGATGCTGGGAAGCGACAGTGAGCTGCAGTTCCCAGTCAGCCACATGTTCACAAGGGTAAAGAACTGACACTCTTCAATGTACCAGTTTTGACTTACAGTATTTTCAACTTACGATGGATTCATTGAGATGTAAACGCATCGTAAGTAAAGGTGCATCTGTAAATATAGGGTTCAGTATTATCTGCAGTTTCAGGCATCCAAAGGGGGTCTGGGAACGTATACCCTTTGGATAAAGGCAGACTACTGTAGCTCAAACTCAGATGCTATCAACTGTGATTAGATGCCTTTCTTTAGTGAAATCCTAAAATCTCCAATAGTTAAACAAAAATATGAATTTCTGCCTTTTCATTAGAAGCATTTGCTATCCCAGAAAAAAAGATAATTGGATATGGTCTACATTACACATGAAAATCTCAAACTCAAGAGAGAAACCCAGTAATTTTATTAATTTTACATAAAGGCAAACATAAGCCAAACGACAAAAAACACTGATTTCCCCATATTATTCACTGATAATGAACCCTAAACAGACAATATTTCAGTATTTGTCCATTCCTTCATTCCGTTAAGAATTATAGCTATTGGTCAGGTGGAGAAAGAACAATAAGGACATAAGGATTCTGCCAGTTCTTCCATTAGTTCAAACAAATGCGTCCTCAATTACAAAACCCACTGAGGTTGCCAACTTAAAGGTGCTATTTAAATATAGAGCAATTCCTCCAACCACAGACAATAAACAAATTATATTTAGATAATCAAATAATAACTCCAAGGACTAGACCATAAAAAAAGTCTTTCAGTATTTACTGGTCACAAACAATTAAAATACAAATTTCTATTAAAAAATGGCAGACATTCTAATTGTTGCTTTACTAAAAAGTCATCTAGTAACTCAGCAAGATTATAGGTACAAGCCCACAAATTCCACAAGTACAACACTATGTACAAGTGTTTCACTGTTTCATTTTGGGTCAAAAATAATAAATCACTGTAAAGCACTTCGAGTACACAAAGAAGTTAATCTTAAGGTCTAATTTTTAATGGCAGTCAGGTAAATAAAAAAATTGTTCTGATAAAACTACAGAAACACCATGAAATTTAAAAATCATCAGTGTTGACCCAGACAATGCTATTTGTCTTTTAGGGATTTAAGGAAGTCTAAAGTCTGAAAGACAGTTTGCTAAATTCTATCAAATATCCAATGGGTGAGATGGGGTAGTATTTGAAACGGCAATGAAATGTCAAAACCTCGTTTCATGTATAGAAACTATCTTTATTTTTGGTGATTATTATATAACTGAGAACTTTTATGTATTTTTCATTTATCCATTATTCTTTTGTGATTAAAATTAACAAATGAAATAGGAAATGACCAGAGAATTTCAGGCATATGAAAGTGACATAAGTGATGACTAATTCAAAGAATCCCCCTGATTACCATTCTCATTAGCAGCACTCAGAATCACCATTTAGGGCTGAAGAAATATAAGAGAGCTAATATAGTATTTTAATACTCTTATTCTTCAAGATGACACTAAGGCCAAAGAGAGAAAATGCCTTTCCCGAGGTAACTAACTATTCTGGAGAGCCCAACATAAAGCGCACACCTCCTAGTTCTCACAGTCCATGTGTTTTTCCACCATAGTGTAGTGCATCTTTTCTACATTAAAAAAAAAAAAAGGCAATGTTTTACTCTATTAGAAAAGCTATCTGGCTCTCTCATTAAGCATGACCGACATACAGTAAGCACTAAGCTATGGTAATTGGTTCCGCCACATCAAAACCTCCTTTAAAGCTCATTTGACTACTTAGTAAAAAACATGTCTTCAGTCTGAATAGTATAACGTGGAAAATGACTTGCAAATGTATATAATTAGGAGTTATCTGACCAATGGTTTCTCTGACCTCTGATTTACTCTTAACTACCACTGTATAATCCCAGACGCGGATAAAACCCTCTATCCCACCGCATCCTGGCATTGTTAAATGCAGCCTGGCCAATTCCCCGCACAGCTGTTAAGATACCAAAAGGATTTAACAGTTCAACAAAACCATACAACGCACTTCACCAGATTCTCCAATACCTTGCCTAACATCAGAGAATCTGTTTCACGAATGTCAACCTTGATCATGTAAATTTCCAGGTTATATGAATAATGTATTTAAGATGCTTCTACACAAAATGTTTAAGAACTCACTCTTACAGATGAAAAAACAAATGCCAATGAACATCATTTTACTGTCAACCAAAAGGCACTGTATTTACCGATCCCCCACCCTTAAACACTTCAAAAAAGGGGAGTGGCTCCTTATTAAAAGGTTATTACCGATTAAGTTCTAGGCCTTGGATATCACCAAAGCAATTCATTTTACAAGGTATTAATCGTTCACAGAATTTTCCTTCCTTCACTAATTTAAATACAATCATCACATTTGCAAATGTCCCCCGTACTCACAACGCTAGAGATAAATGCTGTGTCACTGAGAAAAATATTTTTCTGAAACCAAAAGGAAACTCAAAAAAATGTCGCTAGCCTGTGCCCTCGGGCTACTCCACTCCCTATAAAGACAGCCAGAAATGAGTCTCCCTAAACCCACGTGCTGCCGACTGATGGGAAGCCCCCTGATCGGCACAACCCATCAAGGAAAGGCTGCAACCGCTGGGTTCCACCTCCATGGCCCAGCGCTGCTTCTCACCATTTCCAGGTGAGCACTGGGGCCTTCGGGGTGTCCGCTGCCCGGGGCCGGACTGGCCCTGCCCTCCGGGGTCTTCCGTTCACTGTTGCGCTTCAGGCCGCCGGCTTCGCCTCGGCCCCCGGCCTCTCGGCGCCGTCGCTGCCGGCTCCATAGGTACATGGCACCCGCGCCCAGCAGCAGGGGTGCACCGACCGCCAGGGCCAGCTGCCATCGCGGCAGGCCCCCAGTGCCCGGGCCCGCAGTCGCACCTCCACCGCCGCCCACCCCACTCCCGGAGCCGGGCGCAGCCGCAGCCGCAGCGACCACCGCCGCCTCTATAGGTTTAGAGGCGGCCATGACGAATGTCCTCCGCCACCGTCTCTCTGCTGGTCGCGGGCGCCACAGTCACCAGGCAGCGAGCGAAGGAAAACGGGAGGAAGGTAAGGAAGGCGGTGAGAGAGCGAGCACGCTAGGAAGCAAGAGCGTGCGACAGAAAAGGGCCAGAGGTCACCGGAAGCCCGAGGCATGCCGGGCCAGACCTGGCAGCCCTTCTCCTCCCTTCTTAACCGTAGAGGGGGAGGAAAAGGAGAAAATCACTTCCGGGTTGAGGGACACTTGGGGTCAGGTGGGCGTCAGGTGGGCGTCCTGGACATCCTTTTCAATTTCCTTTTACCCCGCTGCTGTTTTGTTTGTGAGACTAACTTCTGGGATCTTGCCCTCCGGTGGTAGCACATGTCGTTCGCTCCCTGTGCCTTCAGGAAAGAAGGGCAGAGGGCTCGCTTGTCTAACGAAGCCAAGGAGCGGCGCCGCGTATATACAAGGATTTACGGTGCGCAGGCGACCAGAGCCGTACAGGCTCCGCGGCAGCCCTAGAAAGGGCGGGAGCGGCAGAGCAGTTGTGAAGGTTATTGGCTGGCAGGAGTGGTAGGCGGGACGTAGGCGGAGCTGCCCAGGCTATTGGTGGAATTTGGACCCCTCGTTGTCTAGTTACCGCCACGTTGGCGCTCCTTAGGGTCCTGCGGCCATTAATTTGGTTGTCTTTCCGCGTGTCCCGGAAACCAGCGGATTTGAAGGACTGTTAAAGATGTGAGAGAAAAGACCTCAAAGCTGAAGATAGCGTGCTGTGTCACCGACCTTATCTCTGCCATGGCCAAATTTTAGTTTGGACGAATTTGAGGCTATGGGGGCAACAGCAGATGACAGAAATCAGACTGGGTGGAAACCGGCAAATCTAGGTTGGCTCTATCGAAACTGCTTGCATGTGGTCCCTGCGGCTCCCGGTCAGCACCAATTGCGAAAGCGGTGACATCTGTGTGTTGGTACCAGGTTCCCGAACTCAGTGGGTAGAAACGTGAAAGACCCAGAGTTCCCACCTTTCCTTTCCGTGTTTCTATCTTGTACTGGATTCCGCCTGGCACCCCAGCCCACGCCACGCTCCCTCGAGCACCCGCCCCCTCCCTCCCAAGTGCTGTGATCCGCCCACTGCCATGCTTGTTTTGCCATTAGATGCCTCAGCCCTCTCACCTCATTCTGAAATAGAAAGTTCAGTTCACAGCTATTACATATCTAATATCCTTGTCAAGCCTTTTCCCTATGCTCTGCACTAGGCCTTTTAAAATATGAAAGTTTCGTTTGCCAAGAGTTGTTTGGACTTCATAGTATCTTTAAGAAATGACAAGTATTAACAGAAAATCAAAATTCAGAACTATGGTTCCTATTTCAGGTATACTGGTCTGCAGACCTTTATATTAAAAATGTACAAGTGGGGCCGGCCGAGTGGCGCGTTGGTTAAGAGCTGGCTTGGGACGCCAGAGGGCCCCGGTTCAGATCCCACATATGAGGGCCAGTGACACTGCCCTNTATATATATATATATATGTAGCAGCTTAGTTCTTCTGTACATAGCATTTCTTTTCCAGAATGGGACTGGTTCATGCAAGCTTGAAAGCAGCATAAGGAATAATTCTTCCCTTTAACTGTTAAGAAAAAAAAAAAAGAACTAGAAAACTAAGTTACTATAACAATAGGGGCTATGGGGAAGGAAATAAATAAATGAAAGAGAATGAAATAAATAAAGAGAAAATCATCTTTTCATTGTTGCAGTCTTCTGAAGCAGAAAATATGAAAAAGGGCATTGAAAAGTTACTTCATTTTTACATGGCCCAAGGATAATATCCACTGGCTACCTGGGCACCCATGATGTCCGATTGCATTATGAGAACACACACAACTGACGCTTCCTACTGTCTAAGAGAAGATAGTTCCTTTTACATTAAGCATGATAAGAAAACACACAGTCACACTCTAGAAACCTGCAGATGCCTCTACCACTTGACATTTTGGCAACACACTGTGTGCTTGGCAAGGCAGAGCATTACAGCAGAGTCAAAAGGGCAGCTCCCTTTGGTCCTGTGCCCCTGGCAGCATCTCCTCAAGGCAGGTGTTCAGGCCCCTGCCAGGGAAAGCCTGCAGCTGGGCTCCCAAGGTGGAGCATGGCTTCCTCTCAGGCCAGAGCTTCCAGGACAAGCAGGAAGAGCAGCTCTCCCCGAGCTGCTGCTCCTTCACTGCCCCAGGTTTGTTATGAGAACCTTAGTCCAGGCAAAGTGAGTGACAACTTTCTCCCATATTTTTAAAGATATACACGTAGGATTAACTAGGAAAACACTGGAGGTGGAGTCATTTTATATAATGTAGACCAAATTATTTTTCTTCCAAGGATAAATTTATATCTTGCTGTTTTGGGAGAATTTTTGGCTAAAGATTTGAAGCGCCCCCTTTTCTTCCTGTACTGGGGGTACTGAAGACCACCCCCAGGGTTGGTAACTCACTAAAAGGACTCACAGGACTTAGCATATAGTTGTACTCATAGCTAACATTTTCTACAGTGAAAGGATACAAAGAAAAACCAGCAAAGTGAAAAGGCAAATGGGTGAAGCCTGGAGGAAACCTGTCTTAAGCTTCCAACAGCCCCTTCCCAATGGAGTCACACAGGACGTGTTTAATTACTTTAGGAGTGAGTTGTGACAATGCACAACATGTTGTTTACCAGGAAGCTCATTGGAGACACAGTGCCACATTGGAGAACCGGAAAGAACTCATGTTCAGGAATTGGTTAGGACAAAAACTTGAATCTTCAAAAGTTTTCAGAATGTGTTTACATAACCTCCACCCTTTTGTCCTGATCATTTCTGTAGTAAGCAGGCTAGAAAAGCTCAGTCTCTGTTTGGGGACAGCTATATATAATAATCAAGCTGCCTAACTCAGCAGAAAGGTGAGTGAAGTACAATTGGGCTATCAATCCATTGCTGAAAGTTTCAAATAACCTGAAAAGCCTAAGTCAACACAAGTGAGACATCCCTGAGAAGGGGTTAAGAGTCCCATCTGCCAGGACTGGGTGTGGAGAGGGCCCACTCCCCATGATGTGCTCTCTTCCAAATTGCAGCTTTCAACAGGAACCACAGTTATGTTTCTTGTGCTCAATCATCCCAGACGCAATTAGTCCCTGCATTAGATATATAGAGCTACCAGTAGCTTGGTTTCAGATGGTCCCATCAGAGAACAAATCCCACCCCATGGGCAAGTGTCCCACATGGTCCAGTCAGGATCCAAGATGATTTTATAGTTTACGGTCCCACAGAGGGGTGTCTTAAATCTGCAATAGTCCCAGACTCTGAGTTCTGTTCATTGAGCCTATGCCTGCTTTCGGAGGTTGGTCTAGTCCATCATAGACATTATCAGGTTTCAGCCCACCATCAGGCCCAGGCAAGTAGGATCTCAGAATTTAGGATTCCAAAAAAGCCAGAGACTCGTCTCCTTTAGCAGCAGCAAGGCTGAGAGAATATAGGACCAGGCAGTGGAACCCCAAGGCCTCGTAAGCCCTTTTTATCTTGTGAGTTTTAGAGTCCAAGTTGACCCACTCAAAAAATACGCGCCTTGGGCCGGCTGAGTGGCGCGATGGTTAAGAGCTGGCTTGGGACGCCAGAGGGCCCCGGTTCGGATCCCACATATGAGGGCCAGTGACACTGCCCTCCACNAATATTATAGAACACCAGCTTCAGGTGTACAGTGAGTGCAGTGATCAAGTCTCTACCCCATCCATGAAGTGGTCTCCCTAACAAGACATGTGACCATCTGACACCCTACAAAATATTTACAACATTATTAATTATACTTTTTACCCCTCAAAGTGACAACCCCCCTCCCCCAATCTGCTGCCCCACTCCCTGGGCACCATTTTCTAATTCACTCCTGTTAGACTGGTAGCCCTGGTTATGCAGACCTGACCTTATCATTGGTATAGTGGTACAGCACTGCACCTGAGAATTCTTTAGGCTATTCTTCCCTATCTTTACCTTTTGTTATTTCTCCCAACTAGTGGAAAACAGCCTTAACTAAATTATGAAAAAATGTAGAACCATGAAAAATGGTTTCTGTACCTATGTTCCCGTTATCTATTGCTGCTTAACAAACCATCCCAAAAGGTAGTGCTTAAAACAATGATTTTATTACATCTTACTATTTTGTTGCTCAGGAATTTGGGCAAGGCTTACTTCACTTTTCTCTTCTGCTGGTGTCAACATAGTTTACTCTCCTGGTGGATGGGTTAGATTGGGGATTCAAGATGGCTTCACTCAGTTTCTGACACTTTGGTGAAGAGGCTTGAAGACTGCACTCATTTGAGACTATCCAGTGGAGCACCTGCTTGTGGTCTTTTCAGTATGGCAGTCAGTGTAGTTAGACTTATGTGGCAGCTCAGGATTCCTAGAGAGATTGCCCAAGAGCCTCAGGCAGAAGCAGCAAAGCTTTCCAAAGCATGACTTCTACCACATTCTATGCATCAGGCATGTTACTAAGGCCGGCACAGATTCATGGGGGAGGTGAATTACACTGCAACCCTCAATGGGAGAAGTAGCAAAAAAGTTGCAGTTATTTTTAATCTACCACAATCTTCTGCAAAGATTTAAACAATATTAATATTTTGCAATATTTGTTTGTGACACAATTAGAAAAGCATTTTCATTATAAAACCCAATAAAGACCATCTGAAAGTCTAAATAGATACCGTACCTAACAGTGAAATGTCAGTATTGATAGTTTTCTCTTTGAAGTCAATAACCAGTCAGCGATTCCAGGTTCTATTATATATACTGAAGGTGTTGGCCAAAATAATAAGACAAAAACAAAAACAGAAAATAAAAGGATATTGGAAAGGAAGAGGTAACTTATTATTTGTATATGGTTGTCTCCATAGAAAATCCAAGAAAATCTATAATCTACTAAAAGCAATAAAATAGTTTAGCAATGTCGCTGGATAATAGATTAACCCTATTTTAAAATTGGTCCCTTGTGCTTTCGAAACTGTTGGGTATTTTGTGATTCTCCTGTGTTCAGGTCTGGCAGATGCCCTGTGCTACCTTCTTTTTCCTCCTGCATGGACAATGAAATATATTAGATCTTACCTGTTGGTGGTTTGACCCCACATCCTGCACTTGGGGGTGGAGACATCTTGTCACCTATATTTGTTGTAGAATTGTCCATGGGTGTTTTCCTCTACAATTGCTGCATTGGTTTTTATGTGGTGATTCAGAGAGATTGAAAACCAACCCTGTCTTCATTATTATCTTCCCAGAATATCTCTAGTTCAATAGCATTTTGATTCTATAGCTGCCCATTTAGAGAAGTTTGTGTTCCTTTTTCTTTTTTGAGAAGTTTCTTTTTCTTG